TATTTTATTGTTTTTATTCTTATCGTGATAATATTAACGATAAGATTAAGAAAAAAACAATCCAGATCCAATCCATCTTGCGTACTTACAACGCAATTTGGCAACATTGACATTTGACCTGTACCCAACTCATAATTTTCACGTGGCCGTGATGCCCTAGTTTTCGTCACTTTTTTCTAATTCCTTGCCCCTTCCCTTACGCAACGTACTTTTCTAAATATAAAAATAAAAGATGCCGACTTAATTACACGTGGACGCATCTAAACCATTCAGAGTCCCAAAATTTATTATATCTCGACCGTCCATTCTCCTGAAAAACCCCTATATAATTAAGGCTTTGTGAACCCACTACTTATTCTCATCTTTTTCTTCATGCCGTATTCGTTTTGCAGATTGATTTTTCCTTCGATGTCTTCCCTCCCAAGGGATATGTCTTAAGATCGGCTCGGATCGCGGGCCAACAGCTCCTTCTTGTTATCTGATTTTCTATGATGAAAGCAGTAAACGTTGATGGATCTATGCTTTTAAAGGCCTTTTCTGGCAAGGAAGCAATGATCAACTCGAAGAGCCCCAGCTCTTCTGGCTTTCGAAGTATGTTTTTGAAGTCCTTTGCGCTCGCGCATCGAGTTGCAGGCTTTCTTGATTGTCGTTTTAAGTTTTACTCTTGTAATTTTTGCAGGGATGATCTCATCAGCGGCTGAGATTTGGACGAGCGTATTGATTTTAGATGTACGGTGTTAATAGATGAGGCATCTGATGTTGTGAATCGGCGATGTGGGATTGAATGGCTTGTTCTTGAAAGGATGTGTAAGATGTCAGGGCAAAAGGTCCCACTGATAATATTTATTTGTTAGGGGACTGAGTCCTGATCTATCTTTGTCGTCCAAGACCTTTGCCATGACAGGTGCGCTTGCATGGCAGGTCACCCAACTTAATAAAAATTTATCTTTTTCGGTGTTTCTAGAGGGGAGTTCGCACGGGGGTTGCCCGGGTTCTCCCCTCTGCTGCGGTGTCGTATCGTGTATCCTTCTCTTTTTATTCCCATTCCCTTGCTCGCTTTCCATTATTTTGCATCATACGGGATGGATGCTTGATTCAACATCATCACCAACGTCGGAATAAGCTCATGAACTCCCAAGCCATACTACTAGCGTATCTCAAGGCCAAGGTATTATCTTACATATTTTAAACCCACTTCGGCTTATCTAGTTTTTTTTTTAAATTTAATTTAATTTATGCAGATATACAATTTATTTTCACAACATGAAACGATAAAAATAGATTTAAAGTTTTTAAAGGGTTTAAGTTGATCTGAACTTATTAAAGGGTAAGTAATATTTAAGAACATGATTTTAATAAGTAATATTTAAGAACATGATTTCTAATTATTCTTCACCCTTTCTTAAGAAAGGAACATATAATTTTTTCTAATTTTTTCTTGGTTATTGATGTTCTTTTATTAATTATTATTCTGGGAGAAGCTAAATTTTAAAACCATCTGTTTAATGTTGGATTAATTGATTTTGGTAATGAATAAGCTAAATTAATTGATTTCTGTAATGAATAAGTTAGTATAAAAAATTTAACATCATCTTTATTGAACCTGCTAATCTTTACAGTATAATTTAAAGCAGTGTAATTTTTAATGGCAACGGTGCTAATTTATATTGGAGGTTGTATAGATTTTTATTGCAACTTTTAATTGAAGTGGTTCTCGTAATAACGAATTAAAAATGGTGTGTAACTCTCTTAAGAAGTTGAACCATCAATCTTCATTTCGACTCACTAGATAAATTGAGAAATCACCATTTCAATTGAGTGTTATTAGCACCGACACTTGTATATATGATCATATTTCCCATAATTTCTATATTTACTGAACATTTAATCATTTGACTATTATAAGTTGTCTGGTTCTTTTTTAAAACAGATTTTACTTGGTGCTTGGTGTTATGGGATTTTTTATAAAATTGATTTGAATTGCACATCGGATTTTTGGGGAAATTTGATCATTCTGTTCGTTACCAATGAAATCGCTCCAAATTTCATTGGATCGAATTGATATGAATCATATATTTTCAAAATTGTTTTTTAACGTCTTTAGATACTAAAAGATTTTTTTGTACTTCATAAAAATTTAAATGGTTGTATAAGTTAAAACGAGTATATATTGATTTTATATTCCTTACTATTTTCACAGAATTTTCTCTCAACCTAACCGAATCATTTAAATTTCTAACTAAATTTAAATTTTTAATCCCAGCCGTTCAGTTTATTGGATTATCTTTTCATTTTTTTACCGTTTGAATGTTCTTGGATTCCCTTGCTTTATTTCTGTTGTTTATAAATCTTTGCATTATTTTTAGTAGATAAATGCATTCCCTAGTTTTGTATTATGTTGTTAGTGCATTATGGAACTGTACTTTCTTAGGAGAATGTCATTTGTACGCTGATGCAGCATATGTATTTTGCTTGTATATAGCTCTTGGTAGTTGTTTAAGCCCTTGCACGGGCTTCTGTTTACATTGGCTTGATGGTTGCAAGTACTTTGTCTTTGGAAGATATCAATTGAAGAAGATGTCATAGTAGTGTGACTTTGGTGTTGGGAAGTATTTCTGGATTATCCTATTACATCATGTTACGTTTCTCAGTTTTTTGATAGAAACTGGAAGCCGAGGTCTGTGGAATGAATGGCTCATCTGTATAGCTTGGTCACGGCATTGAGCACAAGGATGCTGGATAGTATGTTTCTGTTTACACAATTCATCATGTTTCCTATTTCTTCTTTTTGATGGTTACTGGTTATCAAGGGTATCTGGTATCAAGTGTTTTAGCTATCGTCACATCAATAAGTGTAGTGATGCTGGAGGTATTTCTGGATTTACAGTATTCTATCATGTTCGGTGTTTCTTTTTGATAGAAACTGGAAATCAAGTTATGCTGGATGAAGTGTTCATTCAGCTGTCCGCAGCAGTGATCGAAACAATGTTGGGAGGTACTTTGGAAGGGTTCGCCTGTACAGCTTGTTCCGAGCAGTTAGTGTAAAATCTTAGGTATTTCTGGACTTACAATATTGCATCATGTTTGATATCCTCTTTTGAGTAACACTGGAAATCAAGATATGTATGGTAAGGTGTTTGTCCATAGCTTAGTAGACATTGAGGATTCATATTGAAGTCATTTGAAGCACCGAGGAGACTTGTAATGAGCGTTGAGGACATTGAAGCACTGTTTAATGCCGTAGCAGGTCAATTTTCCGAAGATTTTTCAAACAGATGCAATTGATGAAGCATTGAAGTCTTTTTTTTTTGTTAACTTTCTTGGTTTTATGCAGTGATGTACTGAGATTAGTTTTGGGGAGCTTTTGTTGAAGATTGATCAATTACCATAAGAGGTACATGTAGACCGTGTAAAACCAGTTCCATTACATAGTGAAGATTTTAAGCGGATCCCGTGGTTTTTCCCCTTGACTATAAGGGGTTTCCACGTAAATTTGGGTGTTTCTTTTTAAATATTTCCTATGTTGTGCGATATAATGTTTATGATTAAATAATGTCGAGCCTGCTGGAATTCATCGTTTCCAGTTTTGATACATGCATATAGCAGCCAGCAGGTATGATGATCGTGATCCAATTTAAATTCTCAGTGAATCGCTATTTTGTTACTTCCGTTTCTTCTGTACTGTGTAGATAATTTGAAGCTGGAATTTGATATCTAAAATTTGAATTTCAGGTAAGATATTTTTTTCTATAATGGAAGCCAAATTTCATAGTTTCCTATTGAAAAAATTGATATAAAAGATTTTTCGTATTGAAATTTTTGATGCAAAAGATATTTCCCATTATGTGTAGATTTGTTATATGTCGGATTATTTTAAAATTTGCTTCTTTTATTTTTAATTTTCCATTTTATAATTTTTGTTCGAACTGCGAAAATTTTATAAATATAAAACCAGAACGAGTAGCAAAAAGTAAACTTTGATTATTTGTTCACACGGTTCTCTACAAAGGAAGTTTTGACTTGGTGATAATATGGGGTAAAGGTAATATAGATCTGTAAGCTCAAAATGGAAGAGCGCTCAAGTCCCATTTAGTGGATTGAGAGGTTGATGGTTCGAATCCATCCAGATTTGCTCTCTTTGTAGTAGATTTGTGTTTCAGGGTAGTTTTCTTGGGTACACTTTTAAAATATAGTTGTTAAACTTCTAGATTTTTTTATTATAATATTGTCATGAGTTATCATTAAAAATAGATGATTTAACGTACTAATATCATTTTTAATTATTTTTAAAATTTCAAAATATTGGTTTCTGTTATCATTCAACGTTGTTTAAATTATTGTCATCACTAAATACAATACATATTATATTCAAGAGTTCCATCATATGCATACATATATAAATATATATATTATCATCCATGTAAAAATGGATGACTAATGGGGAAAGTAATTTTGTATGTTTTGTTAAACATTGTTTTAATGAATTTTTGTGTGTTATTACAATGCAATATGCTTTACACTGGTTTGGTTATTTTCTTAGTGTCTTATTTGCAATATATAATTTACAGTAAATAATCGCAATTTAATTGTTCTTAACCTCATTCATTGGTGTTCGTCTTTTTGTTATTCCATTAGTAAGTTCTGTTTCATGACAGGAAGATAAAAAAGATGGATGAAATGACTGCAATAAATGATTATACTGTTGTGGATAGTCTTTAAAGAAAAGAGATTAATCCAAAGAATGTTAACAATAATGATATAAATGAAAGGAGATCGATAATTATTAATTAATTTTAAAAATTTAGAATCTTAAAAAAAAAATAGTGCCACGGTACTATTCTTTTAACCACAGTTGATGATACAAAAATGTAATGAAAATAAACAAAAAATTTAATAATTATATTATATGTTTTAAAAATTGTGACTAAAGTATAGATGTCTTAAAAGTTGGATCACTATTTATTTAGTTTACTCTTTTATTATAATGATTTCGAATTTAATCGTATTGCCATATTCTCAATTTAATCCCGTCAGCTTAATTTTGTTTCTACTAACTCATCGAGGACATTGTTGTCCATTCATCAAGTTCATAATACTATATACCTAGATTTGAACACTTTTAACAGATCCAAAATACTGTTTAGTTAGAGTGAGAAAAGCGAGCAAAGATGAGTTGTGATGGTGATGAACACTCAAGGCAAGACTCGACTAGCAAAATTTTAAGAATACCTGGTGAAGTTCTCTTTCTCTTTTTAATTCCAAAAATGAAGTTCGCGATTATCTTATCCAAATTCCTTCACAATAATCGACGTGGATCCTAATTTCGTTCAAATCAGCCAGCGGAGAAGCAGCAGGAGCTTACGGCGTTATTGCAGTTCCGATCTCTCAAATTGTTCTTGCTTTAGCTTGTGATATGTTTGAATCTCTCTGTTTTGGTCTCTTGAACCTCGTTTTCATTTTTTGCAACCTCGTTCGGTATTCCGCCTAATCGATGCTTCTTGAATTCGTACTTACAGTACTTTTATGTCTTTCTTTCTTTTTTCCACTTTCAGTTTTGATTTTTATCTTTTAACAGTCTTGTGCAGTAGAGCTGAGAACGTAAGCAATTTCGTAGACGCGGAATCAATTTTTGGCTCGGTAATTTCTTTTATTTTCTATTTTTTTTTCTCTTGTTCTTGTAAGACTTGACACTTATCGATATCCATTCACATTCTCCTCTTGATTTGAACTTTTGTGCGAATCTTGTCAATAAGTGCAATAGCTTTATTACGAGAATTCTGTTTGATTGTTTCATAATTCTCACTTGCAGGATAGTCGCATTGTCTACAAACATTTTGCCACTCTTTACTTTGTCTTTGTATTTGATAGTTCTGAAAATGAGCTAGCCGTGCTTGACTTGATACAAGGTATCTTACGAAATTTTATGTTAGAATTTACCTATAATGGACTAATCAATCTACATATGTAGTTCTTCTTAGTTATTGCCCTTTCAAGATTTGAATTCACTCGGTAGTTGGAGATGTCTGAATTGTCAATACTTAAATCTTGCATTGTAGATATGAAATCTCTTTTCTAAAGCTGGATACATCCATTGTTATGGTCTTTGTGATGATTTGAAGTTGAATTTGGTTTGGAAGCACATTTTTATGAAATAGATTTTGTTATTCGAGCATTTAGTGAAAAATGAAAATTGCTTTTCGGGTGTGCTGGAATCCGTGATAACTATTGTTTTGTCACCCTACTTAGCTGTATTTACCTCAGGTGTCTTTTAAGAGGAAAGGTTTGATTTTATGCATTTTGTAGACACTAACCTGTTTGTAACCCATCTTTTTTGTATGAACAATGTTAGAAATTATTGTTTTTAAACTGATTCAATGGATTCATGGCTCTAAAACTACATCCTTTTTCTGATCAGAACAATTTAGCAGTTTGTCATGCAGAAATTATTGTTTTTAAACTGATTCAATGGATTCATGGCTCTAAAACTGCATCCTTTTTCTGATCAGAACAATTTGGCAGTTTGTCTTGCATTTACTTACAAACTAGAAAGCTATAAACAATACTTACTGATTTATTTTAGATATTTTATTATTTTACTTACTTTTGATATGATGCCTTCAGTTTTTGGGGAAACGTTGGACAACTGCTTCCAGAATATTTACGAGCTTGACATTGTGTTCAATTACAGCAAGGTTGTATCTCTCATCGCAAATATCTGCATCTATTTAGCGCCGAACACAAAGTTCATCTTTATTTATAGTTTGGTTCTTTGAAGTGCAAGAGGGTGGCACAGCTAATTTTACTGGAACTGATATTGTTGCAAAACATTAATGGTTGTTATGCTTTGGGTTCCAAACTTTTGTTGTAATAGGGAAAGCCTTCTTGTGGTGTCAGAAGGGTCAATTTCCATGGAGCTTGCGTGGAGTAACTTTGGAAGTTAGTTTTGCCTAATTTCCGTTGTATTTTGACTCAATCACTATGTAGATTGTCGAGAGTGGCTTTTGAAGCTAGCCTTCCTTAAGTTCCTTAGTATTTTGACTTGATAGCACATATAGTTCGTGTTGTAGTCAATCTAAAGTTTCTAGTAAAGATGAGCATTATTGCCTTTAAGCGCAGCAGTATTTTGACTTCCTATGACATCATTTTAATTTCCTATCTGTGCACTCAAAAACGATTTTGAGTTCCTTAGAATACCTTCTTATGATAAGATTATGATATATATCTATCTTGCTTTTGCTTGGTCATTTATGTTTCTCACTGACGTGGTCCTGTTAATATCTTCATTTTATTCAAATCTTCGATTACTCTTTGCAGGTACACACTTTCCTGGATGAGATGATTTCTGGAGGTCAAGTGGTGGAAACAAATTCATCAGAAATTATGTAGGCAGTTGAAGAGATTAAGTGCTTTCTCTATCCTTGCCTCTTTTGCTCGTCTGAAAAAGCATGTACATGATGCCTGTTTTTCCACTTTTGCATTTTATTATATTCATATTAACAAATGAACCATAACCATGATGTAGGTTAGAAGCTGCCTCAAATGCTATCACACTCATTCCAAAATCCTATTAAAAGGAGATGAAAATGGATATAGCATGGATAAGCATCTATGCACTTTTGAAGAACTTGGAGATCTCAGAATTTGTAAGCTCTTTATAAAATCCTAGCAAAAGATATATCTTCCATCCAAACAATGTGTACACGGCGCTAGGTTCCTCTTCAATTACGTAAATCCATTTCTCGCTAATTCTAATTCTCCAACAAACTCACTTAAGCCCTAAGATCGACTCGTTTACTCTAAATTTTTAAACAAAAGATATTTCAAAATGAAATAAAATAGAGGCATCAAATGTAAAATGTGCTTTTGAGAACCTGATAACGAAGAGACAAAGGAGGCTCAAGAGGTAACTGCATCCAGATAACTTGAGGGCAAATGATGAGATCTGTGGTCACTGCCGCTCCACCGACGACATGAAGTCGCTGGAGAACGGATATCGAGGGTCAACCTAAAGTTATGTAAGCTGTTGAGGCCACGTCTGATCCCAAGTTCATCCCAGTTATTCTCCATCAGCGCATGCAGAGCTCTCAAGTGACTGCCGGTTCTGAAGCTCCTTCGCCACGTTGCTCAAATTCTTCTATATGAAGTGAGCTCGCACCGGCTTATTGATTGGCAACCAGAGAGAGAGAGAGCGAAGGAGAGGGGGAATTTGAAAATTGTATTGGAAAATATGTCGAACAGGAAATGGAGCAAATGCTTGTTTGGCATTGGCATTCTAGCTCAGTGGAGGGAAGCTGAATCCACATTTAAATCTTTTTGAAAATTAGGCGCTGGCGCTCGAGATCTATTGGGTAAAACCCATTAAAAGCTTGAAGAAGAGAATAATTAACAATTATTGCTATAAATAATTTAGCAATCAAGGTGCTCTCATGATCTAGTGGTCAAGAACACTGGACTCTGAATCCGGTTACCCGAGTTCAAATCTTGGTGGGGCCTTTAAGAAACTCTCATATTTGATTTGTTTTGTTAGAAGGTGTTTTTTAATCAACTTCTTTTGTTTTTTCTGATAAAATTATCTTCTTTTGTTAGAAGTTAATACCATGGTATAGCTTTATTTAATGTACAAAAAGATAAGGCTTTACTTATTTATTTTCAAGCATATGAAAAAAAAGGAAAAATATTGGGCAAAAAAAATAAAATCTCAGATTCAATCCTTGAAATATAATCATATTTTCTTTAATTTTCATTGAAGTGTTGTCATAATTTCAAACACTAAATTTATTAAATTATATAAAATTGAAATAAAGATTGAATATTAAATTATTTTTAAACTCAAACTCAATTAATAAAATATAATTTCCGTTATTCTTTAACCACAATTGATCAAAATAAAAATCAGTGATCATCAAATTTATTAGAAAGCTACTTTGCTAGTTGAACTAAAGCTCTGCAACATTCGTTCTCATCTGAGCTCCAATATTACCTATAGCCTGCGAAGCCCTTTCTTTGGCAGCCTCATACTTAGCCTTAAGATCTTCACTCATGATCCTATCAGCTGACGCATATGTTTCCGCTACCTCATTCTTAGCTTGGGCATTACGGGCTTCATCTCCTCGATGCTCCGTCGCACTCACAATATTATCTTTGCCATGACGAGCTTCATCCCCTCCATGCTCCGTCGCATCCTCCGCAGAGTTGGTTGTATCCTCGGTCCTTGGGGCAGCGTTTCCAGCTTTATCCACCATATCCGGCGCCACTCTTGCAGCCTCAAGTTTCATTCCTTTAAGCCTAGCAGAATCATATGACCATTGTGAGACATATAAAAACAAATCACATTTAACACAATTTGTTCATAACATAAAGAGATCATTACTCGGGGGAGTGGTCCTCCGCCGTCTCTTGCCATCCCCAGCATACTCCTACCATTGATACTATTACTATCATCCCCACCACTATCTTCTTCTCCATCTTCCTTGCCTCTCTTCAAAATATTGGTTTTTTTTCTTGGGAAAAAAAGAGTCAGCATAAACAAGATCAAGAGCATGAAACTTTAAGATCCTATGTTATCTTTTGTTTTGTTTATTTTCTCAGTTCTTTGGTTTTCTTTTATAGGAAGAAGAAAGGGTCAACGAAGGAAAAACTTTAGTGTTGAAACATGTCATTGCAATGGATAACGTGCCTGAATATCCGATGTTTATGTAAATAGAAATACTATAATCTTGCCAAGTGTTATTAGGACAAGGGTACTGCTGTCGACATCGCATTAGATATTTGTTCGGTTACTCTGTTGTGTTGTGACATTGAAGAGGAGATCATGGAATAATTATCTGAAATTTATCAACATTTCTTTGATCAAATGACAGATTTTTAATTAAATTATCTAAATAGATGAAAAGAACAATATATTGAGATAATTTTAACAAATAAAAATTTGATTTTAAAAATGACCATCCCTCATATGATTATCAAGCATTACAAAATTCAGAAAGAAAGTACATACAATTTTATTAATTATTATTTAATTACAGGATAATCAGATCATAACATAAATACGAGTTTTGAAATAATCCAATTCTTTTCCATATTGGGTTCTTGCAAAATCTTAATTTAGCCTTTGTTCCATATTGTTTAGTGGATGAAACTGAAGCATAGCTAATGGATAGTATATGTTAGAACTTTTCCATAGATGAGATGGTAAGTTCATATCCAGAGTTCATGCTTTCCTCTCTTTAAAGTTTAATATAATTGATGGACCCTTTTGAATTTGGGTCCACTAAGAGCTAAGGTCAGTAATTGCAATTATAGACCTGAATATTGAGCAGAAAATAGAATTAAAAAGAACTTAAGGGGCAAGTTTTCGATCATTGGTAGGTTACTTTAATGAGTTGGCAAGGGACAATGTCCAAAAATGGTGGGGTTTTGAGTGATTAATATATGTTCTGCATAAGTTAGTAAGGAGCCTTCATGGACAAATCTAGTGGAGACATACCCACATGAAGTTGGTGAATGTCCTCCCAACATACCCTAACCCGTGGTCTCTTAAGTCCTACCCTACCATCAGTTATGGGCAGGGATGCATTGAATGGTTCGCAACGATTGTATATTAAAATTTTTTAATTCTCATATAATATTTAAATATTTTTTATTAATAAATTATTTTTATCTATTAAAATTTTATAAATTCACTCCTTAACCTAAGATCTTGCTTTCTACTTGATTATGGGGCACAAAAATTATACCTAAGAATTTGAGATAAATGGTTCAATTAAGTCAAATAAAATTTGAGATAAATGATTCAATTAAGTCAAATAATTTCTTTTTAATTAAACCATACTTTAGAATCTGTCAACCCTACCTAAATGCATGTTATATATTAAAAAGTTGAAACTCTTCTTAAAATCTTTAACTTAAGCATAGAACTTGAAGATGTTTGCCGTCATGTATCAGTGATGTGAGTTTCTTTCTTAGATGAGAAGAAAAGGCCGGTTGGGGGGTGAAGATTTGTTTATATGCTGCACATTTGGTCATGCAAAAAACTTGAAACAGAAAATTAACTGTAATATTGGGATTTGGCTTTCTTTTATTTAATTTTTTACCATTTTCCCATTCTTTAGAGGAGCAGTGAAGGAACGAAAGAGATGCTTGAAAGTTGAGTTCGCTTTCCTTATTATGTTATCATGTGGACTGTGGCATGCCAATGCAGTTCGTTCTCCATTTATATATTTTCCTTTCAACTATATGAACCCAAAGCATTTTTTTTATATTTTATAAATAATTAAAAAATTATTAACTCCTCCCACGAGTGTTTTTGCTCTCGTCTTCTTTGTTAAATGGGTTAACTTCGAAATTGGCTTCTTCTAGTGATTCTATTATGTGTTTAGTTTGTTTGTTAAGGGGTTAATTGCTCCAAGTCTCCAAAACCATGAGCCAAATTCTAAACTAGTAAACTTATGAGTTCAATTTTAAATTGATCATCAAACTAATAAATTTTAAAACGTTCTAAATTATATTAATACCTTAACATTGTTTTGGGTCGTCCTCTTCCACCAGCACTGATTCCATATCTACGACTGGTCGCACTTGAGGGAACATATGCTTTCCTCTTGGAATCTATCTTTAGAAACACAATTTGGAGCCACCTCGATTTACCTGTAATTCGAGCCAATCAAGAGCTCATATGAGGGGTTGTACGCCGTATCTAAGTGATTAAAGGATTTGTTGTTATTTTTTGAGATTTTGAGTTCGAATACTACATATACAAGGACATAAACGTTCATTGATTAAGGGTTGAGAGTCTTTAAATAAATATTAACTTATAATATTTAAGGTATACAATGTGTCAATTGATATATTACTAGAATGTTAAATAATTTTATAAATACTAAAATGATAATGAAACTTTCAAAGCTAAAATACCATTTAAGGAAATTAGAATTTGTTGCGGAAGACGGCTATCGGATAGAGCAAAATCGCAACTGATAATTTGAGAAAATAAAAATGAAGATAAAAGAGACAAAAAATTTACGTGGAACACCCCTAAAAATTTAGGGTAAAAACCACGGGCAACGGTAGAAGAATTTCACTATGAGAAAATAGGAATTACAACCTCTCTCAATCTACCAAGGAGAAAACAATGATAATTATCTCTTGATAAAAAGGAGAAAACAACTCTCAAGAAACTCTCTAAATTCCCTCTAGTATTGGAAGAAAGCTAGAATGCTTTGGGATGGTTTTGAAGCTAAATGAGCTAGAGTATTTATAGTTGAAACTTAAGGACTAATCTTGTAAATACCCTAAAAGTTTAGTGACTAAAGTTTGTAATTTGCCCATTTAATTTTCAACCATTGTTGCACCTAATTTTGACATTTTATATTTGGTGCCTACCATTGTTGAAAATTTCTTTTTTTTTCAACCTTGCTAAATGCACTTTCGGTGCATGCTTTCAACAATCTCCCACTTGAAGATTTGATTGGCACAATCATATCTTCACACTATTCTTTCTACCTTGTACCATCATGTTGCTTACGTCTCTGACAGGCCACAGGAGGATTGACACCAGGTAAATTTATCAGCATTGATTGCCTTCGTCATGAAATCTGCTATGTTGTCTTTGGTATGGATCTTCTGCATATCTACCGTTCCTTCTTCCACTTTTTCACGAATGAAATGGTACTGAACTCGTATGTGCTTTGTCCTTGAATGAAATGCTGGATTCCTTGCTAGATGCAAGGCACTTTGACTGTCACAAAACAGAGAGACATACTCTTGATTATGCCCAAGCTCCTCCAATAATATCTTCAACCATATTGCTTCTTTACTGGCTTGTGTAGCTGCTACATATTCTGCTTCTGTTGTGGATGTAGCCACAACTGACTGCAATTTTGAAACCCAACTTACAGCTCCACCAGCAACTTTAAACACATATCCTGTAGTAGATTTGCTTTTATCCAAATCGCCTGCATAGTCAGAATCTACATACCCATTGATTAGTAAGTTTGATCCTCCGTAACATAATGCAACATTTGAGGTCCCTTTGATGTATCTCAGGATCCTCTTTACTGTATTCCAATGCTCTTTGCCTGGATTCACCATGTACCGACTAACCACTCCCACTGCTTGTGCAATGTCTGGTCTTGTGCATATCATAGCTAGGGCTGTAAATGAGACAAGACAGATCGCGAGCTACTCGAGATCGACTCGATCTTGGCTCGATAAATACTCGGATCGAATGGACTCGACTCGAGCTCGAACTCGACTCGAGTTCTTAACGAGCCGAAACGAACTACTCGATATTCGACTCGAAAAGCTCATGAGCAGCTCGAAAAAATATTATATTATAATTTTATATTTTTTAAAATTACATTATTAAAAATATATTAAAAATACATTATTGATGAATAAATATTCTTGAATTGAAAATTGTTAAAAATTATTTTTGAATAAATATTCTTATATTTATTTTAAATTGATAAAAAAAATTATTTCTCTAATGACAAATATTTAATATATTTCTAATGATAATATTTGTAATAACTAATTTTTTAAATTGTTGTTATATTTTGAGGTTTTGGGTTCAAATATCATAAATATCAAGGGTTTGAGCATTTAATATCAAGATATTATATTGTGCTTACCTCATAACTAATTATGTGATAAGGTTTAGGGTTTAGGATTTAGAGTTTATATGATAGGATTTAAGGTTTAAAGTTTAGGGTTTAGGGTTTATATGTTAGGGTTTAGGGTTTATGTGTTAGGGTTTAAGTTATGCCATGAAGGTAACATACAAATTATGCAAAATGATGTTATGTGGCTCATAAATAAATTATTCACATACTTATACATAAACATATCAACATGCAAAATAAATATACACAACTAATTAAAGAAAACAATCCTAAACAGAGACTAAATTAAGAAAAATCTAAATGTGAGGACTAATGTAAGCTAAAATTTAAATAATTGAGGGACTGTTTTGTACAAAACGCATAAATCTAGAGAGCCTAAAGCTAATTTACCCCTAAGGTTATGGTGGCTAAATGATAATTAAACCCAAAATTAATTAGGGATTAGAACCTAAATTAAAACAAACCTAAACTAAATATTCATTTCAGCCGCTCAAGCCTCACGCCCTAACCTTCTCCAACTCTCCCCCTCTCATTCTCATGCAAACCAGAAAACAGTGTCATAGGCCCGCAGCTGCCGCTCCTCTCGCCTTTCTTCAATGGAGTTCTACACTTCAACTTCTATCATTTTTCCTCGTTCAACCCTAACAGAGACCCACAACCTCTGTGGCTTCAGTCGCCTAGTGCTCCGATATGTAGCTTAAACTTCTCCTAAACATATTTCGGTGACAACCTTCATAAAAAACATCCCTAAAACCTTAAACTTAAACCCATAATACCCTCGTAAATACCCAACTTCACCACTCCGTAACCATGCCAGACCACGACCACCGCGGCCTTCGCCGTCCCCACGAGCTCCGATGAAGAGTCCTAACGCCTGGACCACTCTTTCCTCGCTGGCCTAGGCAAGAAACCCAAACTTTACTGCACATTAATGTATGCTCTAGATATGATATGTTCTCCTCAGTACACGATCTATGCCCTTCGAAAATCTTGGTGAACTTTTTTTTCATTCTTGCGTATCTTTTACCTGTATATCTGAAAACTTAAAAGAGAAAATCTTTCGTATGTGACAACATTTAGGTTTTTCAAAGTGGAGATCTCGCTGCTGCTGAAGTTGTTTTGTCGAACATGGCTGTTGCACTTGACCGTGTGCTTTTGGATGTAGAGTTAATTGTTCTAAAATGCTCTTTCAAGATGAATCTAGAGTTTGTAACTTTTATGAACTTCTTTTTTCAGATACTGCATTTCGATTATAAGTTTTTATGAACTTCTACATGAAATATGACGGTAGCTTTTCAAGATCCTTTTGTATTTCAACCCTACCACAAAGCTTTGCGGGAGCCATTTGACTACTACAAGTTTGGTCAAAATTATATTCGACCTTTGATTGATTTCAGGTGAGTGGACAAATACCACACTGTCTTATTATAGTGGTTTCTTTATTTATGTTGATTTAGGTTGCAGAAAACTCCGCTGATAATTGAATATGGTTTTGTCAAGAAATATATGGTTGTTCAATTTCATAACTCTATTAAGGTGAACCAATACATTAGATTTTCACGTTAGTGATTAGGACATATGTGAATGTCACAAGTAAGGTTATATAAATTTTTGATTAATTATATCTTTGAATACAATCTAAGGTTGAAATTGTTTTATATTTTGTATTCTATCTGGTGGTTCATTCATTGTATATTTCAAAATTTTCACTCCCATTCTTCTTCCCAGAAACATATTATTTTACATGTCCCATAGATACAATTTAATTCTTATCAACTGCTGCATAAGCTGTTAATTGTCATTCCTAGTATTGGTTTTGGTGTTTGGTTCTCTGTCCCTTGTTTTTGCTTGGTGCTCTGTCCCTTGTTTTGTGCTTGGTGCTCTGTCCCTTGTTTTGTGTGTCTGCAGGGCATGGATTCGAGCATGGCCAGCATGGGCGACGACATCATTGGTTTCGGTGGATGGCAGACCAGCATGGGTCTTCCTCGGTGGGTTCACGTGGGTGGTGCACTATCTCGGGCTTCCTCGTCGATTTGCACCACATGTTAATATAATAAACATGAGTAATAATAGTACTAATAATTATTATAAAAAAAAACTTCAAAACTTATATTAATTATCCTAAATTTCTTGTAATTGTATTTTTTATTTTTTAGATTTTTTATAGTTCATACATTCATATTATAATGTATTGGTAATGGTTGATTAAAGGGAAAATTATTTATATATTTTAAATGTAATATAAGATTTTTGTAGAATCAAATTCGAGTTTCAGTTCGAGCTTTAATCGAGTTTGAGCTTGAATCGAGCTTGAATCAAGCTCAAAATCGAGCTTTAATCGAGCTCAAAATCGAGCTTCAATCGAGCTCTTGAATTTTTTTTGAGTTCAAGCCTTTTCAAGTTCGAGTCGAGTTTTAATATTATCTTTCGAGTTCGAGTCGAGCTTGAAAATTTTAGGCTCGTGAGTTTTCGAGTCGAGTCGAGCCTACATTTAAAGTTTTCGAGTTCGAGTCGAGCTCGGCAATACTCGAGCTCGACTCGGCTCGTTTACACCCCTAATCATAGCGAACATCAAACTTCTCACTGCTGATGCATACGGTACTCGAGACATCTCCATCCTCTCTTCTTCACTGCTAGGACTCATACTGGAGGATAATTTGAAGTTAATAGGAAGAGGGGTAGAAATTGGCTTACAATCTTGCATGCTGAATCGTGACAAGATTTTCTTCAAGTAATTCTTTTGTGAAAGCCAAATCTTCCTATTACTTCTGTCTCGGTGAATTTGCATCCCTAGAATCTTGTTTGCTGATCCCAAGTCCTTCATTTCAAATTCCCTAGCCAATTGTGCCTTCAATTCTTCAATATGATCTTTGTTGGGTCCTGCAACCAACATGTCATCTACATACAACAGCAATATAACAAAATCGTTATCACCAGACCTCTTAAAATAAACACAAGGGTCTGCATTAAGTCTGTTGTATCCAAGGCACATAATGAAGGAATCAAATCTCTTATACCAACACCTCGGCGCCTGCTTTAGACCGTATATAGATTTGTTCAACCTACAAACCAAGTTCTTCTTTTTTGCTTCTTCAAAACCTTCAGGCTGGAGCATATAAATCTCTTCTTCAAGATTTCCATGAAGAAAAGCTGTTTTAACATCTAGTTGCTCTAGATGTAAGTTCAATGTAGCACACATTGCCAAAACTACACGAACTGTTGTCAGTCGAACCACAGGAGAAAATATTTCATTGAAATCAATACCTTCTTTTTGAGCATATCCTTTGACCACCAGTCTTGCACGATACCTCTTAACTTGATCGTCACCATTTCGCTTGATTTTGAAGACCCATTTGTTACCAATTGGCTTCCTTCCTTGTGGTAGTGACACAAGGTCCCATGTATTATTTTTATGAATGGCTTCGATTTCTTCTTGCATCGCCATCATCCACAGTGAAGCATCTGAGCTGTTTATTGCCTCCTGGTATGTTGATGGCTCACCGTCCTCTGTTAAAAGACAGTATGCAATTTTACCTTCTATAACATAATCTGAGTGCCAATTGGGACGTCTTCTCACATGATCTGATTGATGAGTTGTTGGAGCTTCAGAACTCTCTGGTTCTTGTTCATCATATGCTGGTTCTGCTTCAGAAGAATCTCCTTGTTCAAACTCCTTTTCCACATGTATCTGTGTAGTCTCTGACTTTTCAGTGCTACCATATTCTTCTTTTCTTTGTAGTTTATCTTCTACAAAGATAACATCCCTACTGATGGTCACTTTGCGGGCAGTGGGATCCCACAAGCGATACCCCTTTACACCATCAGCATACCCAAGAATTTGCATTTCCTGGATTTTGGATACATCTTTGAAATTTTTTGAGAGTTGTGCATCATGTATACAATACTTCCAAATACATGGAGGTTTGAATAATCAGTTGGTTTACCAGTCCACATCTCCATTGGTTTCTTCAGCTCTATTGCAGTTGATGGAGCTCAATTCACCAAATAACAGGCAGTATTGACTGCTTCTGCCCTAAATGATTTTTCTAGGCATTCATCCTTCAACATTGCTCTTGTTCTTTCTAACAAGGTTCTGTTCATCCGCTCTGCCACTCCATTTTGTTGAGGAGTGTTCGCCACTGTGAACTGTCTTTTAATGCATTCTTTCCTGCAAAAGTCATCAAATTCTTCGCTTGTGTATTCTCCTCCATTATCTGTTTTGAAACACTTGATCTTATTTCCAGAATCAAGTTCCACCCGCGCTTTGAAGTTTTTAAAAGTTAAAAACACGTCTGACTTCTTCTTGATAGGGTACACCCAACATCTCCTAGAGTAGTCATCAATAAATGAGACAAAGTATTTTGCTCCACCTAGGGATGTAACTGGTGCTTGCCATACGTCAGAGTGAACCAATTCTAGAATATTTTTGCCTCTAGAATTTGATTTGTTGAATTTCAACCGGTGCTGCTTACTTGTTATGCAATGCTCACACAAAGGAAGTGTTACCTTTGTTAAGCCTGGAAGTAGTTTTTGCTCCACAAGGACTTTCATTCCTTGTTCTGACATGTGTCCAAGTTTCTGATGCCATAGCATTGTAGAATCTGAACTACATGAGGTAACAGAGGCTTCTGCTTCTAGCAATGCCTCTCCCTTCAGTATGTACAAGTTTGCAGCTATCTTTTCACCTTTCAGCACCACAAGCGCTCCACGAAACACCTTCATGATTCCTTTCCGTGTTTCAATCTTGCTTGCATTATTATCCAACAATCCGTAGGATAATAAATTTTTCCTTAGGCCTTTCACGTGCCGCACATCTCGAACAACTTTAATTGTTCCATCATACATCTTCAATTTGATGGTTCCTACGCCAATGATCTCTAAGGCATGATCATTGCAACTATACACAGATCCTCCTGAGACAGGTTCATATTGATGGAACCATTCTCTTCTTGAGGTCATGTGATATGTTGCTCCTGAATCAATGAGCCATATATCTGAAAATCTTTTTCTTCCTTCCACGGTGGTTGACGCTTCACAGCATAGAGCATCTCCATCATCTGAAGTGTTTGCGGTATTACCTTGTGGATTGGAGTTTTTATTTAGACTCCAACAATTCTTCTTCAAATGACCATTCTATCCACAATTGTAGCACTTTAAATTCTTCTTGCTCCTCGACTTTGATCTACCATGTTTGTGATTGCTGCTTTGGCCACGTTCCGTTTATCTCCCTCTCATTTACAGATTTACTTGTCTGTCTTCCTTGTTCTTGCGCCAATTTCTTCTTGTAGAACAACAGCTGCAACATCATCGAAGACTAGACTAGTGATATTACTGTTTGTCAAGTTGATGATAAGTTGATCATACGAATCAGGTAGACTTTGAAGTAGAAGTTCAGCACGTTCTTGTTCTCCTATTGTACATCTTAGGGATGTAAGCTGAGAAAATAAAGTGTTCAGCGTGTTTAAGTGTTCCGTCACTGAAGTAGATTCTGGCATACGAAGAGTATACAATTTCCTCTTAAGGAAAATTTTATTGTGCAACGATGTAGCCTCGTACAATTTGGTGAGATGATCTCATATCTCCTTAGCTGTCTTTTTCTCCTCGATGCTTGGCAATACTTCATCTGCTAATGCTAAATGAAAGTTTGCCATAGCATTTCCGTCCATTTCGATCCATTTGCTGTCATCTGCAAAATCCACCGGCCTTTCACTGATAGCCTCTAGACACCCGTCTTTCCTCAGGATGGCCTTCATCTTTAATTTCCACAATGAGAAATTTCTCCCATTGAACTTTTCAATGTCAAATTTCGTTGCCATAGCTTCTTTTACGGATAGCTCCCACTATTTCACTATCGTGAATAGTTCTCTGGAACCTTCAAAGAATGGGTAATAACTTCTTACTTTCTTATGTTGGAGGATCCACCTTTTGGTGGCAACCACAAAGACAATAAGCAGATATTACACACTCTAATCTAACTCTGATACCAATTGTTGCGGAAGACGGCTATCGGATAGAGCAAAATCGCAACTGATAATTTGAGAAAATAAAAATGAAGATAAAAGAGACAAAATATTTACGTGGAAAACCCCTAAAAATTTAGGGTAAAAACCACGGGCAACGGTAGAAGAATTTCACTATGAGAAAATAGGAATTACAACCTCTCTCGATCTACCAAGGAGAAAACAATGATAATTCTCTCTTGATAAAAAGGAGAAAACAACTCTCAAGAAACTCTCTAAATTCTCTCTAGTATTGGAAGAAAGCTAGAATGCTTTGGGATGGTTTTGAAGTTAAATGAGCTAGAGTATTTATAGTTGAAACTTAAGGACTAATCTTGTAAATAGCCTAAAAATTTAGTGACTAAAGTTTGTAATTTGCCTATTTAGTTTTCAACCATTGTTGCACCTAATTTTGACATTTTATATTTGGTGCCTACCATTGTTGAAAATTTCATTTTTTTTTCAACCTTGCTAAATGCACTTTCGGTGCATGCTTTCAACAGAATTAAACATATTTTATAAAATTAATATAATTAAATAACTTTTCGATTATTCATAAAATAAGAAAATATAAGTTTCATCGAGCAACTTGATTTAGACCGTTTGTTTAGAACTAATGTCTTTTCGACGATGAAAACTCACCAATTTTAAAAGTTTAATCTGCAAGTGGAAGCCTCCAAAAATAACAAATTCATTTTAATCACTTTCACCAAACCTTGAAAAATGTTAACCTCAACCATAACCCAAACCCGAACCCGAAACTCCCGACCATGTTTTGAAGCCTCTCGTTTTCTGTTATAAACTGACATTCACACATGGAGTTTATGTGACTGGGTCCCATTAGCCACAAGCTCTCATTAATTGGCTTACGTTCTTTTGCGATTCTTTGCCTCCCTTCTATCCAAATCGTTTTCTTTATAAATAACATTATACATCCTTGCAAATTCATCTTCACCATAGTAGCTTCTTGTTTCCCTGAAATAAAAAGAGGGTCTTGAAAAGTTTCAAAAGTAGGCAAAAAGAATCCCATTTCTCCTCTTTGGCGATTGACCAGAGATGTTACACAGGTTGGAGTCCCTGGAAAGCTGTACCTATGACGGGATGGACATGACAACAAGGTTGAAACGGAAACAACAATACTATGTGGTTCAAAACAACAATCCTGTTGAACTATGTGCAAGTTCATTGCCTCAGTTTCAGGGTCTGATTGGAAACAATTTAGGTAGTGGACAAATGGTTGAGCTGAAAAGGCCAGAAGATTTTCTGGGTACCGATGATTTTCAGGAATTTGTGAACTTGCCAGTAGCTGGACCGGAGTTCGGTTACAGTGAAAAGCTGGATTTGGCGCCGCCTGAGGCTGCTGCAGATTACTGTATTTCTTGGACTTCTAGCTGTCAGATTACAACGCTCAATACTGCTGTTATGAAAGAGGAAAGAGAGGATATGATTTTGGAGAAAATGGAATCCACAACTGGCAGTGGCAGAGCGAGCTTTAACAAGAGAAAAGCTGAGGTTTGTTTCTTTATCTTCACACCAAATTTATTCACCTTTTCTTTTCAAGTTGCTGGTTATTATGAATTATGATCTTTTGAATAAATTTGATCGTTATGATGCTAAGGTTTTCCTTTGATTAATGTATGAATTGTGGTAGAGATTTCCTTTTAGTAAGTGCTGTGAATTACTAGATCAAAGCAGTTCAATATATAGTGTCATTAATGCATTTGACTCTTGATGTACAGGCTGTTGCAGACCATAAAAGGAATAAAGGTGAAGGGGAAGGGGAATCTGAGGTGAAAACAAAATGCAGTACTGAAATTTCCAGGAATTCTTCTAAGGAAAACTCCAAGGCATCTGAGGTTCAGAAGCCGGATTACATTCATGTAAGGGCGCGTCGTGGCCAGGCTACGGACAGTCACAGCTTGGCAGAAAGGGTAAGAGAACTTTTTCAAATTTCGAGTTGTGATTGCAGAGGAAAATTACTAGTAGTTTTAAATGGTGTGGCCTTTTGTCTGTGTTTGTAATTTACAGGCCCGAAGGGAAAAAATTAGTAAGAAGATGAAATGTTTGCAAGATTTAGTCCCTGGTTGCAATAAAATCACTGGCAAAGCTGGAATGCTTGATGAAATAATCAACTATGTTCAATCTCTCCAAAGACAAGTCGAGGTATGATAGATATGCATGTCGATATTGTTAACCTTGAATATTTTAGTACATCTTTCTGTTAAACTTATCAGGGTTGTAATTTAATGTACTTGCAGTTCTTGTCTATGAAAATTGCTGCCTTAAATTCAAGTGTTGAACTGAGTGTTGAAAACTTACCTATGAAAGAGGTAAGAAAACAACCTTTTGAATTGTCCTTTCTCACTGTGCATAACAAGTGACTTCTTTTATGACTGACTTGTGATTTAAATAATCATGCAATGAAGTTTCCTGCTTATGTCGCCAATTTTCCAGCAGCTGCTAAGTTACCGGAAATGGCCGGTTTGCCCTGCTTTGAGCTGAATCCATTGCAAAAAGAATCTGTAAAATGCATGTTAAATGAATCAATGCATCCTCCCCAAACTGAAGGAATTGCAAGTGCTTCTGTTTCTATCTCAGAACAATCTCTTAGCTCATCCAGCATGACTGTAATTTTTCCTACTATGATTTTAACTACTCTTCTTCCCTGATTTCATGTATGATGTTCTCAAATGCCTTACATGGCTCATACTCATATTGCAGCAACTGCAACCGTTCTCAACTTGGAACATGGACCCTCAAGGCCTTTATAACATGTACAATATGGGATTTCATTAAGATTGACCAACTAATTTTTGTCTCCTACATCAATAGGTAGCTCTAGCAATCTTACTCTTATTTTCCACTCCAATTCCATTATCATCTATGTTTCTTGGACTCCAGTATAAGTATTGGATACATTCATATCCCACACATGTATGATCAATTCCCCTCTACCCCCCAACAAAAGTTTATTATATTTCAAGAGTTTTTGGAGGATCATATCCTCATAATCATGTTTGGATATATGTTCGGCACGGACACTTCAAGATGATGAGCTGGTGCAACATAGTTGTACATAAACATCTTCCATTTCAGTTCCTTTTATTCCTTAATCACCAGCTAAGATATGTTGTTTACTGGTTTTTCTGCAGGTACTGTTACTGGAATCATGTCAAAACTTCAAGAGGGAATACAATTTCAAATGTCACTATTCACCTTCCTACAGAACTTATTTTAATGATTCTGATAGTTACCATTTCTGAAATCCTTGAAGTATCGCGATTAAGATGTTATTTTTTATGACATTATTGATTATTCCAACAAATTATTCGATGAACAAACTCATATTCATGTATAGCCCCACTATTCTAATAAAATATCATCTCTATGATTAATCATCCTAATTTTCCCCATATTTCCACTGTATAATGACTAAATATATTTCTTGTCAGCATGTTTGCCCAATGCAATGAATATGGATATGTCTTTCTAGGTTGTGAAAGGAGAGAGAGCATAAAGGACCACACTAAGACTACCATAAAGAAAAAGCTGATGGGAATAGAAAATGACTGATGAGGCATTGTGTTGGAAACTTTAAGTCATTGTTGGGGGGGCAACAAAGATGATAGAGATGAGTGACAAAAATGGCCCAGCCAGCCGCCCAACCTGCCTGCAAATCTTCAAACTCTCTTTGGTAATACTAAAAGCAAAAGACGATTCAATCAGTTATACGGTATTAAAATTAGGATTACACTAAACATTCTCGATCATTACAGATTCCGTTAACGGTTTTCTCATCGTTTCTCCGACTCTTTCCAAGAAACCTGGTTGATCTGTCTCCCTTCTGATATCAGTTTACAGTGGAATCAAAATTGGTCTGGCATTTTTTCTTTTGTTTGTCTTGAAGCTAATTATGTGCTTTTGGCACTTCCAATCAGTTCTGTATCCGATAAGCTTAAAATCTATGTTGTCGCTCTCGAATCCGGATTCTGGACTAAGTGTCAAACACTTCCATGTGTTTGTGTTTGGCATGTGTTGAGTGTCATCGAAGTAATAGTAGGACCAAAAGAATCAAGGGTGTTCCAGAATTTCGTATGCTTGCTTCTCAAGTTTCCATGAGAATATTAACTATTCCAATCTACTTGAGGGGAATTCATGCTGCACATTGTTGTTGAGATAGTAATAAATGATGCCTAACAGCTGTCTTGGAGAACAAAAGGACATTGAATATGAAATGCAGAAGCTTGTCTGAGATTGAAGAGAACAAAAACATGTTGCAGAAAGCAACCATATAATTTGTTCAGAACCAAGAATCAATAGATAATATTTATATACATCTATAACATGATGAATAAGAAGAAAATGAGTTGACGTTGACACTGACAGTGCTCACTCCCTTGTGCAAAAGGCGGTAGATATTTGGAATCGTGAAACTTTCGGACAAGACCTCACGGATTGAGTGTCACTGTTTGAATTAGAACTTTAAAGGTGATAGAAGACAACTTGGTAATGCTTGGTTGCTAAGCAGAATTGCAAGATCTTAATTCCTTTCGATGTGGGGTTGGGCTTTGGCCTTTGTGTTAGGTATGGCTCATAAATATACCAGTAAAGAGGACAGGAGATGGAGCGGAGTGAGCGAAGCGAACGCAGCGAACATCAACTGTCCTTACAAAGAAAGTCTCGTTGTGGGGTTACGAAATATGTACGGTACAGGGTTGATTTTGTAATTATGTACCAGGGTTTTCTATTATAAATAGAGATGTAACCTAGACCTAAAATATCATTGAATAAAAACTTCTAGCGCCGCCTAGGCACCGAGGATGTAAGCACATTGCCGAACCTCGTAAAATTCTCGTGTTCTTTTATTTTCTTTACCCGTTTTCGTCAACAATTGGTATCAGATGTCAGGAGCAAAATTCGAAGTCGCGAAATTCGATGGACAGGGTAACTTCGGATTATGGCAAACGAGGGTGAAGGATCTATTGGCGCAGCAAGGGATCTTGAAGGCTTTGCGATCTACAAAGCCGGCGTCGATGGATGAGGAAGATTGGGAAGAATTGCAGCAGCGAGCGGCAGGAACCATACGATTATGCTTGGCGGACGAGGTCATGTATCACGTCATGCATCTATCGTCTCCAGACGAAATTTGGAGGAAGTTGGAAAGTCAGTTTATGTCCAAATCCTTAACGACAAAACTGTATCTGAAGCAGCGGCTGTATGGGCTGAAGATGCAGGACGATCACGATTTGGCGCAACACGTGAATGTCTTCAATCAAATCGTTTCTGATCTGGCTCGGCTTGATGTGAAAATTGAGGATGAAGACAGAGCGATGATTCTGTTGTGTTCGTTGCCTCCCTCTTACGAACACATGGTGACTACTCTTACATATGGGAAAGAGACTATCAATGTTGAGGAGATTACTGCAGCCTTGTTGGCTCACAACCAGCGGAAGCAGAATGCAGGGGAAAGCTCTCAAGCCGATAGCTTATATGTCAAGGGTAATCGAGATCGTGGACGGAAGCCAGAGAATGCAGGGTCCGGGAAGCGGAATTCCAGATCCAAATCCAGGGATAAGAAGACGATTCACTGTTACAAGTGCAAAGAGGCGGGACATATGAAGCAAGACTGTCCGAAGTTGAAAAAACAGACTGATGAGAAGCGTGATGGCTCATCCAAGTCTGTGAACGTGGTCAAGGATGATAATTCTGATTGCAGTGAGGGTGATATGCTTTCTATTTCAACGACACAATTGACGGATGCTTGGATTCTTGATTCTGGATGTTCTTATCACATCACGCCAAATAGGGAATGGTTTTCGACATACAGGCCGGTTAATTCTGGTTCGGTTTATTTGGATGATCGATGTTGCAATATTGTTGGTATTGGTGATGTCAGAATTAAGATGCACGATGGCTCCGTTCGGACGTTGAGTGGTGTTCGACATATCCCAGACTTGAAGAAGAATTTGATTTCCTTGGGCACTTTGCACAAGAATGGTTTTATCCCTAAGGCTGACGAGGATAGGGAAACCATTCGGATTGTTAAAGGAGCATTGACTGTGATGAAAGGCAAGATGACTGCAGGGAATATCTACAGATTGTTAGGGAGTACCGTTGCAGGTGGAGTTCACTCTGTTGAGTCCTGTGATGATACGATAAAATTGTGGCATATGCGCCTTGCTCATCTTAGTGAACGTGGTATGGCAGAATTACACAATAGAAACTTGTTGCATGGTGTCAAAAGCTGTAAGCTCGACTTTTGCAAGTATTGTGTTCTTGGTAAACAGACTAAAGTCCGTTTCAAGACTGCGAAGCACACAACTCAAGGGATTCTTGATTATGTGCATTCTGATGTATGGGGGCCTTCCACGACATCGTCTTTGGGTGGATCTAGGTACTATGTTACTTTTATTGATGATTTTTCACGGAAAGTTTGGGTGTATTTTTTGAAACAGAAATCTGAAGTTTTTGAGAAGTTCAAGCTTTGGAAAGCTGAGGTAGAAAACCAAACAGGACGAAAAATCAAGTGTTTGCGGTCTGACAATGGTACGGAGTACACAGATTCACAGTTCCTACAATTCTGTAAGGAGCATGGGATTCAGAGGCATTTTACAGTGCGCAAGACACCACAACAGAATGGTGTTGCGGAACGAATGAACAGGTCGTTGAATGAAAGAGCCAGATGTTTGCGGTTGAATGCGGGGCTTCCCAAACACTTCTGGGCTGAGGCTGTTAACATGGCGTGTTACCTTATCAACAGATCGCCAAGGGCATCGCTGGCTGGGAAAGTTGCAGAAGAGGTATGGACTGGTCATGATGTTAGTTTTGATAACTTACGGATTTTTGGTTGTCCTGCTTATGTGCATGTACCTGCTGATGAGAGATCCAAACTTGATGCAAAATCGAAGGAGTGCATTTTTCTGGGTTACAAGAAAGGTGTCAAAGGATTCAAGTTCTGGGATCCAGTTGCGAAGAAAGTTGTGATTAGTAGAGATGTCGTTTTTGATGAACAATCCATGTTGCAGCAGAAGCAAGACACGACAGTGGTGGATCTCGAGCAGTTTCCAGTTGAGAAACCAGAAACTTCTCAAACGACTTCTGGTGGTTCCACTACGGATGATTTGCAGGATTATAGTCTCGCCAGAGACAGGGTGAGACGGACGAATATAAAGCCTCCGAACAGATTGGGTTTTGAAGACTTGGTATCTTTTGCACTTATTGTTAGCAGTGATGATCCGATTACTTTTCATGATGCCGTTACTAGTCAGGAAAACGACAAGTGGATGGCAGCCATGATTGAGGAGATGGAGTCTTTGAATCACAATCGCACATGGGAGTTAGTTCCCCTTCCTGAGGGTAAGAAGCCGATTGGTTGCAAATGGGTGTATAAGAAGAAACCAGTAGTAACAGAAAAAGAGGGGGAGAAGTTCAAGGCTCGTTTGGTAGCGAAGGGTTTTTCACAGCAGAAAGGAGTTGATTATGATGAAATCTTTTCTCCTGTGGTCAGGCACACTTCAATCCGAGCAGTACTTGCATTGGTGGCTAGTTGAGATTTGCATTTAGAGCAGATGGATGTTAAAACTGCTTTTTTGCATGGTGATTTAGAGGAGCAGATCTACATGCGGCAACCTGAAGGTTTCACTCAACCTGGAAACGAGCATTTAGTTTGCAGATTGAAGAAATATTTGTACGGGTTGAAACAGTCTCCGAGACAGTGGTATAAACGGTTTGACTCCTATATGATCAAGATTGGCTACAACCGATGTGAGTATGATTGTTGTGTCTATGTTAAGAGCCTTGATGATGGTTCTTTTATTTTTCTATTACTGTATGTTGATGATATGTTGATTGCTGCGAAGAACATGGATGATGTTATCGGTTTGAAAACTTTATTGAGTCAGGAATTTGATATGAAAGATTTAGGTGCTGCAAAGAAAATTCTTGGAATGGAAATTTGCAGGGACAGAGACTCAAGGAAACTGCGGCTATCTCAACGGGGTTATGTTGAGAAAATGCTAGAAAGGTTTGCGATGAGCAGCGCGAAACCAGTTAGCACTCCATTGGCGAATCACTTTAAGCTCTCATCAGAACAGTGCCCCAAGACAGATAAGGAAGCTGAAGATATGGCAAAGGTTCCGTATTCTAATGCTGTTGGCTGCTTGATGTATGCGATGGTATGTACTCGTCCTGATTTAGCTCATGCTGTTAGTCAAGTTTGTAAGTACATGTCTAAACCTGGTAAGCAACATTGGGAAGCAGTCAAGTGGATCTTTCGGTACTTAAAGGGTACTGTGGAACATGGAATTGTTTTTGGGAGTCAGCGGGATAATCCTTTGGTTGTAGGATATGTGGATTCAGACTATGCAGGTGACTTGGATAATAGAAGATCTACGACAGGGTATGTCTTTACTCTTGGTGGAGGGCCTATTTGTTGGAAGTCTACTGTTCAATCTATTGTGGCTCTATCTACAACTGAAGCTGAGTACATGGCAGCGGCTGAAGCTGCAAAAGAAGCTTTATGGCTTACTGGTTTAGTGAAGGAGTTGGGTGTTCAACAAGGTGGAGTTCAGTTGCTTTGTGATAATCAAAGTGCTATTCACTTGGCTAAGAATCAGGTGTATCGTGCTAGAACTAAACATATTGATGTAAGGTTCCACAAGATCAGAGAGTTGGTTGCATCTGGAGAGGTTTTGTTTCAGAAGGTACATACTGATGAGAATGCCGCTGATATGTTCACTAAGCCAGTTACGACAGACAAGTTCAAGCATTGCTTGAACTTGTTGAATGTTTCGAGTTGTTAAAGGATCAAGGTAACCCAACCCACATTGAAGTTTCCAAGAGGCAGGATATTCGCCAAGGTGGAGATTTGTTAGGTATGTCTCATAAATATACCAGTAAAGAGGACAGGAGATGGAGCGGAGTGAGCGAAGCGAACGCAGCGAACATCAATTGTCCTTACAAAGAAAGTCTCGTTGTGGGGTTACGAATTATGTACGGTACAGGGTTGATTTTGTAATTATGTACCAGGGTTTTCTATTATAAATAGAGATGTAACCTAGACCTAAAATATCATTGAATAAAAACTTCTAGCGCCGCCTAGGCACCGAGGACGTAAGCACATTGCCGAACCTCGTAAAATTCTCGTGTTCTTTTGTTTTCTTTACCCGTTTTCGTCAACACTTTGGATGGAAGACGCTTTCAAGTTTAGGGAAATAGTTGCAACTATTATTCATGATCAACCTGAACCTAAAAGGTAAAACACGCGTGCTGTTACATTAAGATCTACGTTTCGACTTTATTACCAAACAATACTAGATATTGGCAACTTGCAGTTAGTTCAGTTTTGAATCTAAGATGACTGAACAACATACAAGTCAGATTGCATGATCAGCAAAAGCCATGCACCAAACAGATTATATCTGCCAGTAAAGACCATCCAAGAAAAGCTTCCATTTGAAAATAAATACAGTACTAAAAAATTACAGGAAGCATTCTAGTGGAGAAAGATATCTCCTACCAACATACTCTCATTCAGAAGATACATTATGCGGTCGCTAAACAGCTGCGGCAAGCTGGAAATTCTTAACAGAGGCCACTGTCACACTCCCCTTGAAGTTAATGTACTAGCACTGTAACTGTTCATGCCTTCGAGGAGACGTGTTTTTAAGGGCTAATGGTTCTGCTGGGCCTGGGGCGGATATCGGTGTGGCTGGGAGGCTTGGCGAGACGGTGTCTAGGATTGACTCCCTCCCTTTTGAACTGTGCAACGGATAAATCAATGGTAAAATAATATATATCTATATATTTTTTAGAAACGGATAATTTTATTAAAAATAAAAATATTCAATTTAGATTCATAATCACAACCATAAATTAAATACATAATAAATACATTTTCCTATAATCATTAACACAAAAAGACTAGTTACTTAATATCATACAAGGACCATAAAAGGAAAAGGCTAAAAAATCTAACCAAATAAACTCGAACATAAGGTAGATACGAACATATTTAACTGCATCGGTTATCGAATCACAAAAGGAAATCAAGCTATTGAAAGATCACAGACAAACCGTAAATCAGAGTCAAGCGACGTGAAAAAACTATCCATGAACAAAAATCACGTATCCAAATCCAATCTAAGAGTCCAAAGCAGAGAAGATCAACATGATAACAAATAAGCGTTATCTTGATCAATCGTAACGATATCAAATCAAACTCCAAAAAAAAGACAAACGAAAATATCAATTAAATGACAAAAAACATATCATAAAGACACAAGATACATTATAATAAAATAAAGAGAAAACAATAAAAATCGACAGTTGATGTTCAGTACCAATGCTGGCGTCATCGCTAATCACAAAGAAAAAGAAAATGAAACTATCGCGGCTAAAGAAACAGAGAGAAAATTAGGACAAATTTTAAATTGTTTGATATCTTCCGGTAAAATAATATCTTAAATCAAGATATTAACTTTTACAAACATACAAAATTAATATATATATTTTAATAATAAAAGAATCAAAATATATTTTTTGGTTTAATAGAGGAACTTCTAGTGAACTTTAATCCGAGCTAATATTTATAATCATCCAAAGCATGTACATTACATATTCTTTTAACCTATATAATTAAGGTACTAAATTTTAATTATTCGGTGCTAAAATGAATCCGACTTTAGGCCAGTTGGTAGAGCGGAGGACTGTAGTGGTTTCTCTCATTGTCATCCTTAGGTCGCTGGTTCGAATCCAGCAAGTCGGACTTTTTAATTACTTTTTTTGTTATTTTTCTCCTTAATTAAAAATACTTGCTATATTTTCTTATTTTGGAATAAAATATTTCATCCGTTTCATTATTATTTTTGGAAAGTGAACTTTTAAAATTTTAACTAAAACTATTTTAAATAAATAAATTTTACAAAATAAAATTTTAAAAATTATTTGATTGAAGATTTTTAAAATATATTTTTTATACTTTTTATTAATAATAAATTTTAAATAATAAGAAATTTAAATGAGATATTTTATTAAAAAATTAATAAAAGATAATTTTAATAGGATAGAGAGTAAATATAATTTTAACTTATGAAAGTATATTCGGTCATCAGTAGCGTGTTACTTATTCGATTTTAATCTAATTATCCAATTAAATTTTAATTTTATAAACTTAATGATTTAAGAATTCAAAAGTTATACTTTCAAACTAAGAACAAAAATATTAAAAAATTATACAAAGTATCAAATACAGTACTGCCTTGATTTGTTGCTGAATCTTGATAAAGCTGTAGGAAAAGTTGGCATACAGACAAGAGACAAAATCCATGTCTGGAATCTGTATCTTTAAAGTTATGATTATTTGTCAATGGGGGAACTAAACATCTCTTATTATAACCAATATAAGTTTTGTCTGAAAGTCCTTTGGTTGTTTATGTAAGAAAAAGATGAAGGATTAAAGTTGAGAGAAGATCGTTTAAATATAATCTGTTTGAAGTGTTCTGTCAATATGTCAAAGCTCTTATATATGAACTATTCCAAGTTTATGTAATAATAAATGAGATGAGAATGTGGTGGTCTCTCCTTATTCACCATTTATCTCCACAAGTACATTTGCCATCCTTAAAATGGTGGAACCTAGTTCTATCCCTCATGACAATCTCTCTATCATATATCTTGGAGATAAGCTTTGTAACTGTGTGGCAGTCCTCGCATATCCGAAGATTCTTGACAACCCTAATCGTCGTACCTGGTTTCGTTCTAAGTAATCCGAATGCAATAGCCAGCTTCTCGCTGTGCTGGTTGATTGCCATTTCTTTGGCTTCATCGTCGAGATCGAGCTGTAGGCTCTGCAATGCAGGTTTATATACTTCCTTTTCAAGTCTTTCAGCAATACTGTCCCACATGCGGTAAATCTGTTTTGCCTGTGGGTGGGACTTGGTTCCGGCTAAGAATTCATGTACAACCCCATTCAGACTTATTGCACTGCAACCAGGAAGTTTTGAGACGCCTCGTTCTTTCATGTGCCTCCTTGTTTCAACTGCACGGTCCCAGTCCCCTGCTGCTGCATGAATGCTTGCCAACTGAACATACCGGCCACCATGGTCTGGATCTTCTTCAACCAGGACTTTCCCTATCTTTGTACCTAATTCGACATTTTTATGGATCCGGCAGGCATTGAGCAATGCTCCCCAGACAACAGCATTTGGTTTTACTGGCATTTCCTCAATCAATCCCTTTGCTTCTTCCAGGGCCCCTGCTCGGCCTAGTAGATCAACCATGCACCCATAGTGCTCTATTCTTGGCCTTAACTTATGAACTCTTTTGATGCTCTCGAACAATGATTTTCCTTCATCAACCAATCCTGAGTAACTACATGCAGTCAAAATTGCAGTAAAAGTGACATGATTCGGCTTGGTTCCTACCTTCTGCATATTCTCAAACCAGTCCAGCGCTTCTCTTCCATGACCGTGAATTGCAAATCCATAAATCAATGCCGTCCATAAAGAGACTTCTTTTTTCTTCACTTTCTTAAAAACCCTTAAAGCTTCCTCCATGTCACCACACTTTGCAAACATGTCTATAAGAGCACAGCCTAAGACTGGGTCGATAACGATTCCGGTTTTGTCAATATATGCATGAATCCATCTCCCTTGATCCAAAGCTCCAAGATATGCGCAAGCAGAGAGAGTGCTTGCAAGGGCAACTTTATCAGGCTCGACGCCTTCAAGCTGCATTTCTTGAAATAAATTCAAGGCTTCCTTATACTTGCCTGCCCCAACATATCCAGAAATCATAGTAGTCCAAGAGATGACATTCTTTGTTGGCATGTTCTTGAAAAATTCATTTGCGATTTCCATCTTCCCAAACTTTGCATAGCCATCGACCATTGAGTTCCAAGAAACGATGTCTCGTTCTGAGACCTGGTTGAAGAGCAGACGTGCAGTTTCGATGCTGCCAGAGGATGCATAGACATGGAGCAAGGAATTGACAGCATAAACCTCCGAGCCGAAACCAAACTTTACGACATAGGCGTGAATTTGCTTGGTTTCTTCCATAGCTGACAAACTGGAACACGCTTTAAGAAGGAAAGGAAAAGTGTAGGAATTGTGTGGAACTGAAAGTTGCAGCATTTGCTGATATAGGTGAAGGGCTTTTTCTGATTTGTTGTTCTCTGAGTATCCTTTAATCATGGTGTTGTACATGAACGTATTAGGCGTATTCACTCTATCAAAAACCTTCTGGGCGTGTTCTAGATTACCATATTTCGGAGACACACAAAACGCAAGTACTTTGCTTACTAAGATTGTATCTGCAACGAGACCGGTTTTGAACATATGTGCTTGAATCTGCTCGATTTCCACCATTTTCGAACATCGTTCAAGCACAGATAGGGTCTTGGAGGCATTTAATTCCAGGGACAGCTGCTTTGTTGGAGATGAAGTGATGGGTGTCATTTATTGGTTAATAAGGCAATGGTATCAGAACAAAGCTGATGAATAAAAGTTTATTTCTTCAATCTAATTTACAAATACGGATAAGGTTTTTGGTAACTTCATCTATATGGATATCCTAACATTTGCTTCGTGTGGTCCTTATTTTATCTCTCATCAAGCTATCGCCTTTCGAAAAAGAAGTTTGAACTACAAGTTAAAAGCAACAGGATACATATATATTCTTCATCACAGCCAAAGTAAAACAAGAAATTTTTACCATTCAGGTACATGCAAATAGCCGTCCTATAAGTGTAGGACAAAAGACCCTTTTTAGCTTAAACATTCAAGAACTAATTTTAGGGTGTTGTGTCAAAGATTGATACTTTAGAAAAGGAGAAACTTGCAAGCTTTATTGTATTAAATTCAGGTGCCCTTGTACATTTTTGCTGTTGGAGTTTCACAAAAGAGAGAAGAATGAACTATAAAACTACGACAACCTTTGTTGCAGCCATTGACAGCATATGAGTTTATAATCATAAAGTTTGGGGCAGACTGTTGGTTTTTTGGGCCTTCTCAGCTTCAAGCTTCCTTAACGTTGTTGAACTCAACTTGCCTCCAGTACATTCTTCAGAAACTAGATCTACAACTTCAATCTGCAGAAAATGGCACCATTTTGTGAAAATTGTAAAGAAAATTTGTCTCACTAACAAATGCTACATACATCATAGAAATTAACCAGACAAACAAACCTTTAACTGTGACAGACCTCTTTCAGCTCTTTTCTTATTAACAGATACTCCACCTGGTAATGTCTCCTTGCTGTCAAGAAACTACTGCAGTTAGCCAAAGGATTCACTAGCATTATCTAAAAGGTTGAATTATAGCAAATACATTGCCAAAAGGAGACAAAACCAGAAAAGAAAAATAACCCGAAACTGCCGGGACCAATCCCATCGATGGATTTTAAAAGGCAAGCCCAAATTTTGCAGTTCAAAGCACAAGATCCAGAAAGCAAAGTAAGCATTCATGTGATCTAAAATTAAGAATCAACTATCTAATATTATGCACTAATCTTAATATGATCAATGAATAGCAAGTTAATCAATGATGAACCTGACAACAATGGCCTCCAAGTGTTCATCAATGATTGAAGGTCCATAGGGATCTGTAATAGGTTCAACTTGCACTACCAGCACTGATTTGATAGACTGAAAGTACAAACAAAATTAATAATGAACAAAATGATGGTTTTCTGATGAAAATACCCCATAGTTTCATTTCATACCTTAATGTAATTCTCAACATTAAGCATCCTTTCTTCAATGGGTTGAATCAATTCGGCGAACTATAAATGAGAGAAGGATTACTAGAGTTAATAAAAGGTCTTTTCTCTTAACCTAATTCAACCAAGCAATCAAGTTTAGTATTTCGATTATTTCAGAGTAAAAAGACAAATACAATAAGCAAAAAAAAAAATACCCGTTTTTTGGTTAACATGGAACCATCACAAACACCCACCACGATTCGATCCCTGGCAAGCTCCGCTGCTGACTATTTCCAACAAAATTTCGTTTCTTTAATATGAACTTGGATAAAGAAATAAAAGTAGAGCACAAGCAATAAGAAAACAGAGAGAGAGAGAGAGAGAGGTAATTTTGTTAGCTTTACTTTGAGGAAGAGGCGGTGGCCGTCGTGCAAGCGGTCGAAGGTGCCACCGAGAACGACGGCGCCATATGAATTTGGCGTCGATAGTTTCGGATTCTCCAAAGTTGATTGGCCCGTTTGCTCTTCCAACAGCGTCATCTATATAAGACAACTGGAACACAACAAACAAAGGAAAAAATTACACTCCTTCCCTGACCATTAAATTTAGAAGAACAAATGAGAATATATGTACCTGACTTGGACTAGGTACATCGAACCTAGACCACTTCAATCTTTCGTTCGGGAGTCGGGGTCAATCTAGTTTTGTAGGAGGGTTTTATCTTTCAGGTACCTAATTCAGACTATTCAGTTCCTGTTGTTGTTTTTACTGTTTTATGGTTCTCATGGAAAGACTTCGCTAACTTTCTTTCTTGTGTCCTTCTGTTTATTTTCAGAATTTTTTTATTTTGGGTAAACGACATAAAGGGTCACTGAATTATATCGAAATAATCTTTTTGATTATTAAATAAAATAATTATTAAATTTAGTAAACTGTTACAAAATGATCACTTTTAATATGTCTACAGATATTTTATAAAATTTTATGTATGAATAATTATTAATTGAGCTTTTATAATTGTTTTACTATGTCATAATTATATTAATACTATGATCGTATTTACTTCACATATCATAAAATCATTAATATTTTTATATGGGCCAGATAATGGTATGAAATGCACTTCAATGATTAACTACAAATTGTTATACTGTTCTTTTGGTATATGAAATGAGTGCACTCAATGTCACTGTTGATGTGTGGGATAGGACTTTATGTTATTGGTGTATCCGTCTAATTATTAAGTATACTTTAGACTGTAAACAATTTAGAATTGTATTTTTTTTTGTTACAGCAGAAATAAATCAATTAGCTAGAAGCTTGAGCATCCTGCAGCGAAGTGTGAGCTAGCTCCAATGGCGGTTCCATGAAAACAACAGCACCAATCGGGGCCCCACAGCTCATAGCGGCCAGCTTATCCGCAGAACCATTCTGTTCTTGACAATTATGAGTAACCTTAATCTCCCAATCGAAGTTTACTATTATATGTATATATTAGTTATGTTTGATGGTAAGATATGTCATAATAAGATAAAATAAAATATACTTGAATATGATGATATATGTTTTTTAGTGATTTGCTAAATAAAATGAATTATGTTATGTTTATGATAGTGTGTATAAATATAAATTTAGCGTATGCGAGTGCATGACAGTTAGATAAAAAAAAGTTTGTCTAGTATGTTTTATATTAATCTAGTGATTGCCTTGACTTGTAAAATGGGTTGTCTCTCTTATATGCTTAAAACTTGCTTAACTACTTTGACGTGTACTTTGACATAGTTTGGTGTGGTTTAGAAGCATGTAAAGTCAAGAAAAACACATGTAAATCTGTAATTTAACGTTAAAATATCAAACACTTACCAAACCACCTCGATAGCTAAGGAATTTATTATTATCTCTTAAGGTTTCAAGTTCGAGCACCGCGTATGCCAGGGTTATGAGCCTTTATTATCAAAGGATTGAAAGTCTTTTGAACATATATTACCTTACATTCATCCCAGATTTAATGACTATATTTCTTGCCAAATTTAATGCTGGAAAATGCCACTGTTCCTCCTCGGGATAAGGTAGTCGTACTTGGAGATGGAAATCCCAAAGGTAAATACGTGCACAAGATTTGTTCTTTTCTTCAATGGCATGATTGGAGCTGATAGTGCGATGGTGTTTTTCCACGTTTCAGCTAAGGTGCAATTTTTCAGCCTATCAGTTGTTGTCAACTAGCTGTATTTGACAGTTCATGTATTTTATCCAATAGTTTTTTCTTGCATCTGAAGCCAAAGCGATCGTCAGTTTCATGAAGGTCAAACCAGAAAATGTTTTATTATATTATCATTTATCAATGCTTCTTTGAACTTGGTGATCCAGATGTTTTGTTTTATGCAGAAACACCTATTCCCTGGAATTTTGTTTTGTCATTCGGCTATCCCTATGTTTGTGAAGGCAGAGGCTTCAAATTTCGATATAGAAGCTCATATGGAACCTGCGCTTTACTCGGAAGTGAAATATACTACTGTAGATGAATACCTGCATCAGTTTGTCTAAAACATTAGTGAAAAACACAGCAGTTTTGTATGCCTGACAAAAGAAACCAATAAAACTTATCTTTCATGGAGATGAAGAGTTTTTCTAGCCTATCCTTGTTCATGTTAATTGCTTAAAGTTGAAGGTTCATTTCAATCTTCCATTCCTGAAATTCTCTGTTGACTATTGATCGAGACATATGTTTTACCGTTTCCAATGGAAACAAATGCATTCAGATGACAGCATTTCGAGAAAATTGTTCTTTCTATGTTTGTGCAGCACCTTTTACAACTAATAAAATAGTAGACAAGGGCATTGAAACAAAAGGATGAGACAAAAGAATCATCGAAGGAAGCTTAGAGATCACAAGAAACAAAGTGTATTGAAGTTGTGAAACCGCTGGAATATAACCTTAAACTGTCCACTTTCAAAGGGCATAATCTTCACCGTTGATGTATGCTTTGTGAAGACACTAGTTTTTTTTTATTTGCTTATATTATTATTATTATTATTATTATTATTAAATAATTAATTAATACATTGCAGACCCAGAGGCCCATTTATAGACCCAACAATAACCGGTCCAGTTACAACAGCTCAATAGAAACCCTAAACCCAACTAGGGTTTCAACATCTTCATCCAGCCGCCTCTCTCTTTCCACCGTTGGATCTGATTTGATCCAACGGCCCAAATGGCTCCAGACAAAACCCTAGGGTATCATCACCCTAGGGCCACGCGGCCGTCGTTGCTTTTGCCGCCACTTCACTCCGTTTCAGCCGCTGCCACGACACCCGAACGAAGGCTCCATAAACGTTGCCAGCCGCACACGCGTCGCCGTTCTTCGGTGAGTCACCACAAGTTCGGTGACTCACCAAACTACCACCATATTAACCGGTCCGAGGCTAGTACCGGAATGGCTATAAAGCCTCGGTTTACTTGCAAAAGAAAAGGAAAAAAGGAAGCCAGAGAACACAGCAACCAAACCATCAAAAGATCGAAACAAAAATTGAGAGAAGCCTTACCGAAGAAGCTGCGACGCCACCGGAGTTCATAGGCCGTCGTAGAAGCAAAATACCGAAGGTATTTTTTTTGTAGATCTATGTAAATAGGAGATGCTTTGTGGGAAAAGGGGGTCGAATTCGGTTTTAGATCGTCCCGATCTATGTTTTGAGAGATTTTAGAATTTTTCGACCATCGATAACGGTGGCCGGCGACGAGGAAGGCTGCCGGCCGATAACCGACTTCCCTCCGGTGAGGGAAGCTAGAGAGAAGCGAGAGAGTCTTCTTCTCTCTCAGTGAGAAAGAGAAGAAGAAGAGGAGAAATGAGAGTGTTGGCCCGTAGGGCCAGTCGTTTGGGGATTTTATACCCCATCCAAAACGGTGTCGTTTTGGGTGGGGGTATATGCGTAATTTACACATATGGGTAAACCCCATCCGTAGCCCATCAGTTTTATAACTTT